TCATCATCTTCAGATTTCTATGGAGGATGTACATAAACATGTGGTTATGGTTAATGAGGAATTGAATCCAGTTTATTAAAGACAAAGACAAATCTGCATTGTTGCCTTAAAGGAACCTTGGTTAAACTGGTTTTGCCATTTGCAGGATGTGAGGCGAGCATTAGCTGAAGAAGTGATTCTGTTGTGAACTGCAAAGCTAGCAGACCTTCAATCTGTGTCAAAGTTTCAACATGGATGCAGAAGGCAGTTACTGAGAGCCGCTGGAGGGAGAGGAAGGGGAGTGACCTGAGAGAATTTGCAATGAGGACAGCAACATTCAGAACACAGCAGCCTCACTGTGGTTTATGTACCAAAAAGTTGTTTCCAAAGGTGTGAAAATAAGTTTTAAAGATCTGTTGCCACTGACTAGAAGAATAGAAGCATCCATTACTTTAACTGTGCAATTCTATGCATTCAAATAAAGATATATCTGTGTACATGATTAGTAGAATACATGTATATTTCTTAACCTCTTCAGTTTTTTTCAAACTTTTTCTTCTTTTATTGTTATCACACATCCCATCAGTTCAATCTTTCTGGCTGCAGAAACCTACAATGTGACAAATACAGATAACTCTTTTGTTATATTGCCCTGGTTGGTTCGACACTCAGGCATCCATTAGCACAGACTGCGTAATGTAAGTTATTCTCTGGTGGATCTTTTGGATTGAAAAGGTGTTGGCCATGAGGTGAGTGTACAGACAGCAGGGCGTATTTCAAAAACTACTCTGCACTTTGTACTTAGTCATCAAATATTTAGTCACCAAAATAGTCATCAAATTTTCATCATGCCACTAAGTGTTGTGGCATGACTGTGTGAATGGAATCCCTATTGGGTGTTTGTCTCCCTCCATATCCTGTAACATTAATACATTATCACCCTTTGTGTCGGGTTGGGACTTTCTTTAAATTCTTGTAATCTGCTCTACTCACATGTTTTGAAATGGACCATACAGAGAAGTCTGAACAGTATTTGGGTCTTCTGTGTAATGTTTAACCTTAAATGCTTAGAAAATTTCCTTTGGGCGACAAAAGCATGGGTATTTTGCAAGTCGTTAAAATGCCACCACAGTCACTTTTGGTTCCAGACAGTTTGTAGAATTGCTGTCATGGCTGTTTGTGTCAGAGCCCACTCTGGCTAGCTACTTTGCCAATCAAATGGATGCAAAAGAAGGTAGTCGGCAGTGACAACAGAGGGCTAATGGCTATAATAACCCACGTCACAGGACGTACCTTTGTCACCTTAATTACCTTAAAAAAAGGCAACACATCCCATGCGGAAAGAAGAAACTATAGTGAGTGGTACTACCTGATGTAATGGAACACATTTCCATGAAATGTTCGTTCTGTGTCAATGTCTGATTTTAACATATTCTTTATTAATGTAATCTTGTGACCCATTCACCTTACCGCTTCCTGGAAAGCCATTTGTAACATTTTTAGTAAAAGTGTTACGCAAGTAATACTTTGAAGGGCAAACACAGACAACAATAAAAAGTGGAAATACTTACTCCTTTGGCTTCTGTGAACTGACGACACAAAATGGTGTAGCAATGTAACTCGTATAATGTCAGTTAAGACATCGGTGAAGAAACTATGCTTTATATCCATCAGACCAGGGAAAAATGAACTTTTAACCTCGTAAACCTGTAATTTATTTCAGAAATAATCATCATGTAATGCATATGTTTTCTTTGGTTAATCTCTTCAGACCGACTGTGCTGATGCAAGGTGAGGTCCAGCAAATGGCTTTAGGAGCACACAGCATTGCACATTTAGCTGTGATGTGTGACACTGAAGGTGGCACAGTCAGTGGTGCGAGGTCTCCGAGAGGACAGTTTATGTGCAAAACCTCCAGGAAAACAAAGCAAATATTTCTACAGCTGGATTTTTCACCCCCTGTTCTACCACACCCATGATCAAACGCGGCAAGTATTTCTCTTTCACAGTGTCAGGTCTAATCTTGTTTTGTAGAAACACTTCTCGCTGGGAGGAATTTGCCGCGGTCTTGTGATCCCAACCTTGAAGTCCAGATGGGCCTTGATGTGCGTTACTAGTAAAGAGCAGACCGCGGACATTGGATTTCATTAGATCTGCTTGATAGACATGATTACACAAATTCTAATTAACCAAAGGGAATTTTCTATCTCAATTTCGAGGAAATTCCATATTTCATCTTTAGGTCCATGCTGTCATTCACATTCACATGTACTGAAGAGCAGTATTTCAGTTTGAGGATTCAAAAGAACAAGCAACCTAAATACCAGAGGTTGTTGCAAACAGAAGGTCCACAGGTCAAAGTCGTGACTCATCAGATCCTGTTCTAAAATTTCTGTTTGCTGTCAGTCTGCCTGAAGTAATGAGGCACTGAAAGATGCCGATTTACCTCTCAGGTGACCTTTGTTCATCAAAATGACATCAGAAGCACAAAAAAGAGGAAGAAAGAGACATTTCAGAATTTTCCAAGAAGCAGCACAGACAACAGTCAAGTGCGCCTCATCAGACGGGTTGGAATCACCCCTGAAAACTCTGCTCACACCTCAATTCATTTCTTTGCAGACATTACACAGAAAATGTATTTTCTGATCTCAAAGGAGGTGTTTTAACATTTGCAAGATAAGTGCTTGAAAGTCAACTATATCCAGATTCTCTTAATGGTAATTGTCAAAATGACACGCGACCAAACGGATAAAGCAGCAAGTGTACAGTGATGCTGCCGGGGTCATGAGGGGCCACGCACGTGTATCTGCTCGTGGTTGTTTTTCAAAGAGGGAAAATACCAGAGGAGAAAACAGCACCGTGAAGAGAGGGCGGCACTCATGTCATTTCCAGTAATGAGAAGTTGCGCCTGAGACTAATTTGTGCTGAGTGCTTGTTTGACACATTTGTATTCTCCATTGGACTTCTCATTTCTGATGTTACACACACACACAGATATACAAACTAAACCTAACTGTGGACCTCCTCTGTACCACACAAAACTTTCACTGCTCTGGTTTCTAACATGTAATGAAATGGAAACTGTATAAAAACTCCTCTCCAACATATTTGAAAAGAAACTTGAGATCTTTGTCTTCCACTTGGCAGCTTGGGTGTGTAGCACCAACTTCCAACCTACCCAGCCCCTACGTACCTGATTTTTGACCTGCTAATTGTGGAGCAAAAGTCAATACATGGCTGTCAGAGAAATACAGTAAATCTGTAATTCTTGTGTGTTGTAGCTAAGTAGGACAGAGATGATTTTATGGATAGTAGTTTTTTTTATAATTGGACACATCAAGTTTTGTGTACCAAAAGGTTCTCTTCCTCTTTTATTGTTCTGTATTTTTGTTTCATGCTGCATCAACCGAGAAAACAGCGTCAGGTATCAGTTCCAAAAGCCAGAATGTTTAGATAAAAGATACTTATTAACCAAATAGTTGTATACGTCTTGACAAGGCAACAACTAACACTCATGGTTATAATGTTCATGAAAAGTTTCATAGGTTCGCAAACCAGCCCACTTTATATGCCTCAGTCATTTGACTGAGGTAAAAATTAACTATGGTTGTTCTGCCCACAAACAGGAAACACAACTTCTGCAACATGCAACTGAGCCAGTCTTCAGAGGGTCGAGACATTTGGTTTTGTTGAGTTGAGGAGGAGAGTGGGTTGTGTTGTTTTGCTGTGAGTTTGCATCAAAATAATGCGCGACCTTTCAGTCGGCACGTTTTGCATGTGATTTGCATTCCTTTAACATTTCAGACTGTCTCGGTGTGCGTAAGTCAATTTACAGAGACTTAAGTTGCACCATACAGTGACTTTTATGCCGTGCACGCCATGAAATGTTACGGCATGTCCATCCTTATTTTGCAGTTTCCCTCTGTTAGTCGGTCTTTTTGTGGTCTTTGTGCGTCTTTGCAGGCCAAACAGAGCAGTTGTCTTTTGGTGACTTTGTGTCTGGACATCACATTAATGTTTCAGATTTGATAACAGGAGGAAGTTTGCCAAGCAACAACACAAACAGGCACAAACACCGGCTTTGATTTGCAGTGAATACGTCCTGTGTTCTCTGCTATTGTACTGGAGACAAAATGGCACCTCCAGAGGAAAATCCCCAGTAAGATTTAACATGCCGATCAGTGAGAAGAAACAGAGCACAGAGACAAACAGAAATGCACATGCTCAAGCACAGAGAGTTAGCAGCTGTAAACTGGCTGCATCTTATTCAAGGACCGTTTCAGTGTCACGAAGAGGGAGATCCCATCATTGTTTTCTTACAAAAGTTAGTCAAGTAAGTGGTGTGTTTTATTGCATTGGCAGCGTATACACCTGCAACGGAGCATTATAACTATATTTGTTTCGCTAAAACATCTTCTTCTGCTTTTTAGTGATTATGTGAAGTGTCCTAACAAGAAGTTAATAAAAGTTCACAGAGGGAAAGTGAAACTAAAAGAAATCTAACACAGTTGGGTGATGGGTTATGGAATCCTTCCAGATGAACTTTTATTCAACTAAAAAAGAAATAGTCTATATGACTTGTACTTTATATGCATGTGCTCTGCTTTTTATTAACTTGCGCTGCAAACATTTCCGTTAACAGCCAAAGGCGACCAGCTGCGGATCACCGGTTGCTTTTTTGTCCTTTCTCTTCCTGCCGAGTCCACGCGCGCAGCCGCTCTGCTGCTAAAGAATGGTGGGAGCGAGGCGGGCTCGCGAGCTACGGCCGGGCGAAGGGAAATATCACGTGGTGACACATCTCCACGACTGACGTCACCGTCCCCATCTCCAAGCAACCCCTCCATCAGCACTGGCGTCACCGTGCGCCTGAGCCGCGCGGTTGCCGGGCAACGCTTGCCTTGCGCTCGCGCCCGGCCTTGCCTTGCACCCAGCTCGGAGCTCTGACGCGGGTGTGACGTTAATAAGGTGGGTATCAATTTGTTATGGTAGCGGAGAGAGGGAGGGAGGGAGGAAGGGAGGAGGGAGGAGTTCCCCGTGTGAGTGCCGAAGCCCTCAGCTCCGCATTCCGGCAGAGCTCACAGGCACACGCCGCCAGTCCCGGGCCCACCGAGCACTCGTCCAGACTCGAGAGGGGGAAAACCGGAGAGAAAAAAAAAAAGTTGCTCCGCGCGGTTTTCCACTGAAATTTCCACCGTCATGTGTTTGTGATCCGTTGCCCTGGTGGAATGGTTTACTTTTCGCCGCACAGCTGTCCAAACTGCGTGAGAAGACGGTTTATGTCTTTTTAAGGTAAGGTCTTTTTCAATCATTCACTCTGGTTGTAATATTTCGTCTGTTAAGCTGTTTTTTATTTTTACTTTCATTTTATTTAAACTAAAAGCTTAATATTGGGTTTTTTAGTTTATTCCACATCTGCTTCACTCTATGTAATACTTTACTTAATCTTACTTTCATGTGACAAAAAATGTCCTCTAAATCTTTTCATCAAATGAGGTCTCCACAAATGATTTTTATTTGAATGAATGATATAATATTCATTTTTAAAGTTATATTTACAACTGAAATACAGATTCATTTATTTATATTCTAACTTTGATTTATACACTACCCCTCCACCCCTCAAACCAGTTTTATGATAAATGTTTCTCAAAGTTTCTCTTTAGGCATTGATTTATGATAATACCATGATTAAATAAACTGTTTTTAGCCATTCAAAAATTCACAGTATGCACCTCTATGTTGGTCTCTGTAGGTACAAGCCTTCTTTTATCCCGAAGCGGTAACTACAGTTGGTGCACCATGGTGATCATGACAGACACCAGCAGGGCTGCTCAGCCCAGCCCTGCCCAAGGGAGGCCCCTACAGGTCGGCTTCTATGAGATCATCCGCACCCTGGGTAAAGGAAACTTTGCAGTGGTGAAATTGGCCAAACACAAAGTCACCAAAACACAGGTCAGCATCTTTTCCCAACATTTATATTTGCTGTCTTATTTCTGTTGCATCTCATTCTTCAGTTGCATGTTTAACATTTCTTCCTTTCTTTTGCATATTTTGCTCAGGTGGCGATAAAGATCATCGACAAGACCAGGCTGAATCCCTCCAACCTGGAGAAGATTTACAGAGAGGTGCAGATAATGAAGCTGCTAAACCACCCCCATATCATCAAACTCTACCAGGTGGGAATGATCTCAGAACCCTCAGAAGTGCTGCTGTTTGCCTTGCGTGTGGTGATATGTGTGCACAGTGCTGCTGCAGGGAGCTTGCCTGCATGCACGCATGTACGTGTGTGGACATTTTCAGGAAAATTCAGCCCAAACCACGATGTAACGTTGTTGATTTTTTTGGTTGGGATTTTTTGTGGATGCAGCAGTGACATTAATGTGTGACAAAAATAAGTGGCATTTGCAATCTAAGTGGTTTTGAAAGGCTTGTTGTGAGCTGCTGATTCTCAGCGTACTCTGAATCATAAGTACAGCACAAAAGCATTAGTGCAATCCCTTTTGACCTCCCTTTGTGTGTGTGCGTTTATGTGTGTGACAGACAGTCGAAATGCGACGACATGGGCACTATTTGATGGTGGAACAATGCATTTCTTAGTTGTTTGTTGTTATATAATGGCACTGAAGAGGTGATTGTCGTGTTATTAGGTAAAAAGAACCACCAGACGAGTGCTGAGGAGGGAAGTGTGCACAGTGTGTAGCTCTAAGCCCAATTAGCACCTGTTAAAGCCAAGAGCAATGTGTCTGTGCCTCACGTGAAGGCCACTCCACAAAGCGCTGCTTTGCTCCTAATCAAATTGAAGACTTAGCAGGAGGAATCCGCTTTTTCCCCACTCAGCTGACCTCGCAAGCAGTTCGGCACGGGTCTGGCAACAAACACACAAACAGCCAGCCACGCAAACAAACAGACAATGTCCTTTGTGTTTTAAAAAAAAATTCTTCTTGTTTTGTTAATTGTGAGGATTACTTCACGTCCGGTTTTAATCAGTCAACAAAGCCCTCATTGTGAAACGGTGGTGAAATCATGTCTGGGCTGTATTAATAAGGGCATGCAGTTGTTTCTTACACGGCTCACTGCAGTTTCCCTCATTAACAGAAGGAGCATTCCATTGAATTTAAGGCTGAGACATGCATTAGCTGAATACTAAGTTACTATGATATAATAATATATCATAGTACATAATAACATGATCAGTTTATTTTAAGGAAAAATTTCAATTGGACCAATTTTTTTCCTGTAAAAATGGGGATAATTTATTTCTTACTCGACACTTTTAATATTGATCTTGCAGAAACAAAGTGTGTGTACATGCAAAAATGGGCATTGACATGCAATGAGAGCAAGTAAGATACATCGTTCATCCATCCCACTGCGGGATAAAATAAAACATTTTATTTTGGACAACAAAATGTCTTTGTCAAAAAAGGCTAAAAGAAAACCTCTTTACGCAGAGTGTTTAACAGCTACTGTGAGACATACGTGTGAATCATCCTGGAGCTTGTTTCCCCAGGAGCGTGTTATCTTTCCCGGTCTGAACATTTATGCAAACGCTCAGCGTAGCATGGGCTGACTTTTCCGAGCAATCTTAGTGACCAAAGTCTAATTGACTTAACTCCTGAACGCAGTGATGAAACCGCTAATGCTCCACGTGTTATATCTGAAAAAGGCCTGAAGTCACTCATTTACTTTGCGGATGGTTGAACTGTAAGACCACTTCACCCACATACTGCCTGGTTTTCACCTCGCGCCCCTGGGTTACTTGAGGTGGTGCTAGTCAGATGCTCGATGCTCGATGTTCCGCACCGCTGAATAACGTAATTCTCTCCTTCCTGTTCAAAAGGGAGGAACGTGGCATAAGACAGTCTTGTGATTTTAAGGATGACGTCATCTTCTTTGTGCGGCAGTTTTGGGATCCATTTGAAACATCTGCTCTGACAAATCAGCTGCTGCTCCGGCTCTGTCACCGGGCTTGTGGGAACAGAAAGCCTTTTGCCTCCGTGGTTAGGTGTCACTGAGGCTTAACCCCTGCTGTTGTCTCCGGCCTTCTGTCACTCACTCACCTCCCTATTGCAGCAAGCTGAGTTGCAATGTTGTGTTATCTACATTTGCGCGAGCGTTAAGCCCATAAGGATTCATCCAAAAAGCTTTTTCAACAACCAAGAAAAAAAATAATAGACACACGACATGCCGCGGGCTCTTCCCGGCTGCGATGCGAGCGTCACCTGAAGGTGACTGAGCTACACAAAGATCTGGCCTATCTCGCAGATAAAGACCATTTCCCGATGGGTGATGCAAGTCTATTGAATTTCTCCTGGTTTTTTCTTAAGGGACTGATGGCTGAAAAGAATAAAAACCCTCCCACTCAGTGGAATCTGGCGTTATTCAGCCCAGGTCTGGCCTGAAGCATTATGCGCGCGGCTCTTTGTCATGATAAAAAAAATGGCTTTGTTGTGTAACCTTTCAGCTCAACTGCTCTGTCCTGGAGGGCCTCTCAGGGGAAATGGAGGTCGTCTGTGAACTCCAGGAAAGGACTGGGAATTTAGCTTTTCCGTCCCACGTAGCGTGCTCAGCACTGAGCGACTGCACGTACGCTGTTTTAAACACACAAGACGGGACTCATGCGGAGGGGCCGAGTGACCCTGTGGCAGTGTGTCTCTGACACACAGATAGGGGAAGTTTGTAATTCAACACCAGCATCCGTTCGCCAACAAGTATCAGCCTTAGGGATGTACTCCCAACCATTTAATCAGCTGTGTGTGTGTGTGTGTGTGTGTGAGAGAGAGAGAGCTCTTTCTTTTGGGTCATTGCCGACGTGCAAAACTGGGTTTAAAGATGTGATAAAAATGCAGACAGGAAGTTGGCTGGCTTATGCAAAGGGAAAGTTCTTGGAAAGTCAGTGGGGCATGATCGTATGAAAAGATTTTGGTGGTGAGGAATTGCCTCGCGCCTTGAAATGCGAGCGGCACCGATATGCTCGGAAGAGATTACACGCTCACATGAGGTCTTCACTGCCTCAGCTGCCCGTGATGCAGGTGCCTTGAGCTTTTTTTTTCTCTCTCTTTCTCTCTCGTAGGTCATGGAGACCAAAGACATGCTGTATATCGTAACAGAGTATGCAAAGAACGGAGAGATGTTCGGTGAGTTCCCCTCTGTCGGTCTGGACAGTCAGATCCACCCTGACATTGCTCGTGTCTCACGTGTGGAGGCTTGAACTAAAATATCCCTCCCTCCCTCTAGACCACCTGACCTCAAACGGCCGCATGAGCGAAGATGAGGCCCGAAAGAAGTTCTGGCAGATTCTCACGGCAGTGGACTACTGCCACCGACACCACATCGTTCACCGCGACCTAAAAACCGAGAACCTGCTGCTGGATGCCAACATGAACATCAAACTGGCTGGTACGCCCGCTGCACACTGTTTATTGCCATTGTTAGCGAGGCTACTAGTTTGCTGGGAGGAGGATGATGAACAATGTGAGGAATGTTAATTGGTTCTTAGGAAATATTTGCTGCTTTGGGAATCCTAAACGGCTCTAATTAAATCTCTTTTTTTTATCTTTGTGCTAATCAAATGCAGATAATTAACTCATTTCACCCAGACTAATATTAACTGGAGGGAACAAGTCTAGCATCAGGCACACACTATTTTTTATAAATAAACCCTCAGAGCAGAAGACAGCTTCTTTTGTATGGGTGGTGTAACAAAGAGAAATACACAAGTGGATGCTAAAACCTCTACACGTCTGTCTTTGCCATGCAGACTTTGGATTTGGAAACTTCTACAATGCTGGGGAGCCTCTGTCCACGTGGTGTGGAAGTCCACCTTATGCGGCCCCTGAAGTGTTCGAGGGGAAAGAGTATGAGGGGCCTCAGCTGGACATTTGGGTAAGCTCATAACAGGTCGACATTAACAAAAGAATGAATAAAAATGCGATTAAGAATGGAAGTTATATTCTGGTTGTTGCTCTTTTGCTCACAGAGCCTCGGAGTGGTGCTCTACGTTCTCGTCTGCGGCTCCCTCCCGTTCGATGGACCCAGCCTTCCCGCTCTCAGACAGAGAGTCACCGAGGGGCGGTTCCGAATCCCCTTCTTCATGTCCCAAGGTATCAATTATGCCCACCAGCAGTCGGGGCAATTACTGCCGCTCACTAATCCCACTAAATGAAACGCACCCCGAGACTGACGAGCCGTCCGCATTCCCCCCCCCCCCAGACTGTGAAAACCTGATCCGCAAGATGCTGGTGGTGGACCCGGCCAAGCGGATCACCGTGGCCCAGATCAAGCAACACCGCTGGATGCTGGCAGACCCGAGCGCCGCCCACCAGACCCTGAGCCACTCCCTCACCGAGTACAACTCCAACCTGGGCGACTACAGCGAGCCCGTGCTGGGCATCATGAACTCTCTGGGCATCGACCGCCAGAGGACCATCGAGGTGACTGAGTAGAAAAAAATAATGAAATGTAATTAAATGTAGCAAGTGAGGTGGGAGGGAGTTTGAGATAATTAGCATCGGGGACTTTCAAATCCCCCAATATATTAGCGCAAATCTTGCCGATCTACTGTGACTAAGCTTACTAATCTGCTCTCCTCGTCCCCAGTCTCTGCAGAGCAGCAGCTACAATCACTTCTCGGCTATCTACTACCTGCTGCTGGAGCGAGTGCGAGAGCACCGCACGCAGCAGCTCAGCCGTCAGTGTGGGACCTGGGGGCAGAGACCCAGGAGCACCTCCGACTCCGCCGCCCCCGAGGTCAGCACTCCACCCGGACGCAGCCAGCTCAATCTAGCCCTGATCCCACCCTCTGCTTGAAGTCTAAAAGTGCGCGGTGCTTTCTTCTTGCTCCTAGGTGATTATGGAGTCCACCGACACTTTTAGAACGACAGCTTTTTCACTCCCGGCCAAAAACTCTCATCCTGTGTACTCGGAGGTGGAGTGTGACCAAGGCGGATTATTCCAGGTAAATCTACCAGATAAGGGGCTGACATCATTGCAGCTCAGCCTTTGGTGTGTACAGATGGACTTAAAGAGCGTGCAGAGTCCGCTCTCGTGTCAGGCCGTGGCTGACAGTCTGTTTTTCTTCGGATTTCCAGCGTGTGGTGTTCCCGGTGGAGGCCAGCCTGAACAGATTGCTCTGGAACCGCTCAATTTCACCCAACAGCCTGCTGGAGACGAGCATCAGCGAGGAGGTGCGGCCCAGAGACCTGGAGGAGGAGGAGGCCACCCAGAGTCTTGGCCCCCTGCTTCCTCCGACCACCACCTCCCGCAGGCACACTCTGGCTGAGGTTTCCGCCCGTTTCCACCAGTGCAACCCTCCATGTAAGAGCCCTAAACACATGTGGACGCACATAATCTCCATCAACCAGCAGCGCTGAATCTAACGTCTATCGTCAGAGTCTAAAGCCCTGTGTTTTTTTGTGTGTGTGTTTTTTTTAGGCATTGTGGTTAGCCCTTCAGACGGAGCCTCATCTGACAGTTGCCTGAAGTCCTCATCCAGCCCTGCCCCCTCTCTGCAAGCTGCTATGGGAGACTTGTCGACGCTTCAGGCCTCAGGGGGCGGAGGCGGAGCTCCTCTGCCTGTCGGAGCTCCGCTGGCTCTCTCCTCCCACCTCCTGCCCCAGGCACAGGGCAGCCTGCCCGCCGCCAGCTTCCAGGAGGGTCGCAGGGCCTCGGACACCTCGCTTACACAAGGTGCGGAGGGTGGGGGCGCGGGCACGAAAAGCACCTCCCGTATTATCTAAGCTGCTATCCGTTTGCACTTTGTCCCATTAAAGCTTCACGGGCGCGTTGCGTAACCTTTCCCATGCCTTTCCACAGGCCTCAAAGCTTTCCGCCAGCAGCTGAGGAAAAACACGCGCACCAAAGGGCTTCTGGGCTTAAATAAGATCAAGGGCCTGACGAGGCAAGCTGTTCCTCCGCCCGCCTGCAACCGCGGCAGCCGGGGGTCCATCGGCCCGGCCCTGTCGGAGCACCGCAGCATGCTGGAGGAGGTGCTGCACCAGCAGAGGTGAGACCGGCTGCCATGCCAACGCCCGCCTGTCTGCAGGAGCTTTGGGGCGCGGTGGTGCAGCAGTCCGGCAGATTTTGGTTAACTGAAATACCCTCCGTGTGTTTCTCCAGGTTGCTCCAGATCCAGCACCAACCGCAGCCTCAGGTCCAAGCCGCTCAGGCCGGCCCCTCCCCGAACCCTCTGCTCTTCCTGTCGCAGAAGCAGGCGCCCTCTCCTCCGCCCACTTCCATATTTGCCTCTGCCTCCATATTTGACCCCCCCGCCCAGCCTCCTCAGCAAGCCTCCACGGGGCTGCCGCACAGCCCCTGGCATCAGAACCTGGAGCCGTCCTACTCTGGCTGCTCCTCGCCCTCCTCGTCCTGCTACGCCTCCTCGCTGTCCCCCGTGGCGTCCGCCGCCTACCTTCTGGAGGCCCGGCTGCACATCAGCCAGCAGCCCCACCCCCACGCTTACGCCAGCCTGCAGCAGCAGCAGCCTGCAACACAGGGGCCCCTGCCCATCCCATCCAAACCGGCCGCGTGGGGCAGGGTCTCCACCCCCGCCGGAGATTCCAGCATGCAGGAGCTCATGCTGGCTGGGCAGCAGCAGCTCAGCAGCTGCGTGATGGTCAAGTAAAACTTTAGGAAGGCTGACTTGACGAGAAGCCCAGAAGAAAAAAGAGCACAAGTGAGGACGCCGATCAAAAAGAAACCAAGAAAAAGCACGCAGGACGCAAACGTACACATTATTTACAATGAGGTACCCGTTTGCGAATGTGTACACACAAATGTGCTAATCGTGTGTATGTTTCTGAGGTCATATAAGCTAAAGACTAAGCAATAACCAAACTCTGGATGAGGTGTTCTGTTTGGACAGCCAGAGAAGCAATAATAGACTGAAAGACTCTTCCAGCTCTCTGACAGACTCACTTGAATGAAATGAGAACTGACGTTAGCCAATACGTTGTCTCGCACATGTTTTGATGCTGTTTAAGTTAACTTTTTTATTCAACTTTCTTTTTTTTTTTTTGTAAAATAGGAAGGCTTCCTCCTGAGAGCGTTTTTAGGCAGTTTTGCATATGTTCTGCATAATGTTTTTTCACTTACTTGGACGGAAGACCAAAATTCTTTCCTTTTTTTCATTTCCCCTTCGCCTTTCTAAAGAGACATTTCTCTGTAGCAGTGCAATGAGCATGCAGTCCAGTGCCCTGAGCTCACAGGCGTTCGCTGAAGGACTTTTGATCTGTATTGAAACTGTGACACCCGTTTTGTTTTTTGATTGTTTTTTTTTTTTTGTCAATTTGTTTCTGCGCTAGATTATTATAGCTACACAAATGCTGCTTTTACCTCAAGATACGACAACAACAAAAACTGAGTGCAACGTCTTCGTCAGCCAAAAACTGAGTGAAGGTAGAGTGAGAAAAGCACAACAGGTACATCGGTCACCTCGGTAGAAGGAACCTTACGTGTGTTTGCTCAGCACCTTCATTTTAGATGCTTTTACTACCTCCTCAGGCAACATGCTAACTATTTTTGCAACTTTCTTCAAAATCTACTAATAAGGTGTCATCAGTTGCAGGTTATCAGGAGAGACGTGTTGTTCATATGGACAGAACAAAGACTGTGGGAACAGTGCAATATTTTACATGGATTACAATGGAAAGATGAGGTTCTGCTTAGAACGGTCAGAATTGCCCGCATATTTGCCTGAGGTTCTCTTTTTGTTTGTTTTTATGTTTGAATTTGCTGTGCTAAGCTTGCTGAAAAAAAAGGTACTTGTTATCCAACAGAATGACATGACGGTGTAGTGATTTAGAGTAAGGCATTTAGAAAATGCTGCTTTTGTGTGCGCGTACTGCAGCATGCTCGTAGTTCCTTATGTGAAAGGAAGAATTTTGGGTTTACCAAAGAGCGAACAACACAAAACATGGGTGATCTATTTAAGAGACAAAAACAATGACACTACTGACAATATCTTTAAATGCTGTCTTGAGATGTAGCTCGGTGGGTGGCTCCCTTTGTCCTATGATTTCGTCGGCTTTGGCTGAGAGAAAAGCTCCTTCTGCCACCAAAACGCTAATGCTACACGTACTGTCCAGAACTAGCTGTTACTTTCAGGACCATGGTGGTATTCTCTCTCTCTCTTTCTCTTTATTATTATTATTTTTTACTTTTCTAGAAAAACGTAGGAAAAAATCAACTAAACACAAAAAAAATCTCAGCATAGCAATACCATATTGTGCAGGAAGTTTAACTTTATGTGGTGGTTTGATTCAGACGACGTGTAAAAAGCAGCGAGCAGTGTGTGTCATAAATTTAGTTCTCTTGTGTCTGTGAAACTTTTATTTGTAGGAAAGCAGTGTTTCACCGAGTTCTACCTTGGAAACATGCAGTGTTGACATTTCTGCCCTCCAGTCTTTGGTTGATTGCACTCACCAACAACACTTTTGTGCCTTTGTCCGAACAAATAAGCGATCAGAGTTCTCCGTCTCTGCTCAAGACACTGAAGAAAGGATGACGGATGGCTCAATTAGCCGCCATCCACCCAGAGGCCCCTCTGATATTTCCGTTGACCTTTGAGCTTGCTGTTTAAACTGAAGCAAAATTTGCACTTTATTCATATATCTTTTTTTTCGTGATGGAAAAAAAAGTCACAATAACTGTTCATCAAACTGATAACTCTTGATGCAAATCTGTTAGATGACCCTTTTGATAAACTTTGGCTAAGAAGTATTTCATGTTTTTTTGTTGTTGTTGACTGTGTGAGCACGTCTTTGTGTGTGTGTGGATGTGTGTGTGTGAGTGTTGAGGGGAGGAACGGAAAGAGGAAGGGAAGGAAAGATTGTTTATTTATGTGGCTATTTATTTAAATAAAGTTCTCTTCATAAACTGTTTGTGTCCTTTCCGTGGCTCCTTTAATGATGTTCACATTTTTTACTCAGTTTCATTGACTCTAACTCGAGTTGCAGTTTAAAACAATGCAAACAGCTTCTTGAGCTCATTTAAACAAATAAAGATGTAGAAAAATACCTCATTCTTCAGGCCGCATTTGTGCATCTCCACAGTAATGCAAAATTATACACACACACACAAACACACATATATATCCCTATATATCTATATATATCCATCCATAAATATATCCATATACATAGATTTGGACACAACACAACCCATTCCACTATCACATCCTAATAATGAGGCTCCCTGGAGACGGTCCAGCCGGTTGTGGTCATGCTGGGATGTGGAGTGACGCTGGCGATGATGCATCCCACCCTGATGAGCCTCCTGCTGGAGACAGGTGTGTGACGTCTGTCAGGGAGAGCCATGTCGGAGTCCAATGACGCAACTGCAACATGAGAGGCCAAACTGTTCATGAGCCAAGTGAACTCTGCTGCACTCCTCCATCCCCCCCACCCCCCTCCCTCCCTCTCCCTGCACGTTATCTCCAGTTAGATAAGAAAGCCAGAAAGTCTTGTTCATTTTCTGCAGGGCTGAAATGTGCCGCTTTGCCACTCGCTGCATGTACAGATTCACACCGTTGGAGGCCACTTTACTGACTCATATTTCCACGTGGAGCATATGGCCTGACATTTGGCCGATGACCGCCGGGTAGCTAGCTGCTCGTGAGGACTTATCTCTGTTCGTTACACTTCCAGATGCCAAAGAACATATCAGCTTTCAGCTGCTTCCCGCTGCAGACGTGATCCCGTGTCAGCAAAACAACATGCTCCGAATACCAATCAGAGAAAAATCTGCTTCCATGTCCCTGTATGACATGCAGTTTAGGTCATTTCAAGTCATGTATGCGCCTTTATGCAATGTGTCTGTTAGCAGCTGCACTAAATGTCACATAAACAGAAGTCCCTGTGACTACGTGATGTGTCAGAATTTCCATTTAGCAAGAAGAAGCGAATTCCCATGGCTGCATTATGTCCCAGAAAACATCCATCCATCCATCCATCCATCCATTTTCTATACTGCTTATTCCCAACGGGGTCAGGGGGGGGGGGTCTGGAGCCTATCCCAGCTGAGCCTATCCCAGACCTGTCCAGAGGCGGGTCACACCCTGGACAGGTCTCCAGTCCATCGCAGGGCCACACAGAAACAAACACACACACTCACATTCACTCCTGAGGGCAGTGTCCAGTGTTGGAGTGTCCAGCTAACCTAACATGCATGTTTTTGGACAGTGGGAGGAAGCCTGAGTCCAACAAAATATCTGTAATGTACATTTTCAGTTGTTCCATTCATATTTGGTTCAAATTTCCAGGTACTGAGATCTGTTTACTCATCATTATTCATCATTCAGGACGATTAAGAATTGATTATTATTGCTGTACTGTAAAATAATACATATTGCGAACGGTAGCGATCAGGTTTCGTCTTACAAATTCATGTTAATTCTTTAAATGCTTTTTATACCTGGATAAAAATTTTAAATACTTTCAAAACCCTCTGTCTATCCTTTTGTGCATGTCTCTTGTAATGCTGTCATTTGCTTGCTCATACATACATTTTTCTGTGACAACAGAGGCAGGGAGGCTCCAAACCCTTCCAAAAATTCCACACTGTTCCAGTTGGTCAGCTCCAGTGGCCTGATCAGACGCCGCCCACCATTTTCCATCCAATCAAAAAAGAATTGTCATTGAAACAGTTTCACAAAATGTAATGGAAATGATCAAAAGCAGGGTGAGTTTTAATGAATGCTCTTATTTCAAAGGAAAAATCAACCACTACACTCAAATACCTTTATAAATACAAAATACCAAAGACTCTAAAGCGACTTTTTTTATCTTCATTTTTAGTTCTGGCTGGGAACCAAACTTAACAACAGCAAGTTAGAGATCACGTCTGTTTTATTCCACAAAACCAATGAAACTAAGAAGACATTTTACGTAAATTAATCATTCAAAAGGGAAGTATATAACAACTGCTCACTTCTTTTGAGAAAAATGTCAAACTGACAATACTAAGATAATAAATTGAACTTTCATGGCACATAGTGAAAGTTGATGTAATGTAGATTGTCCATCTTTACTTAGTCGGCAACGTCTGAACAGGTTTTACCAGCGCTCTGTGACAATGGGCTCATGCAGGTTTCTGTATGACAGGTTTCTTCTAAGCAGGAAGTATAAAGATTTAAACCTCATTCAAACCCTGAGTTAAACCTCATTAGCCTTTGTCATAGCAATGGTGACAAAACACGGCAATTTGCTTTTAGAAGGTTGAGCTTTTCGAATCCCAAATAAGTTGTTGGCATGACACAAACAATTCTACCGGCATCACTCACAGACAAAGCTGATATGTAGGCCTTTCATCGTGTTTTACAGATCAGACTCTGAGATATGATGTGTTTATTTTCTGTGGTGGTCTTATGAAATGTGTTATCAGGCCACAATCACAGTGGTATGTTTTTTTTGTGTGTCTTGTTTGTTTTTACTTTTTGGGATCAAACAGAAGGCCTGAGCAAAGACGACTTCTGGTAAAGCTACACAGAAACTCTTCCTTATATCAGCAGTGGAGTGTTTTTTGTGTGTGTGTGTTTTCTTCTGATTCAAGGAAACTATTTATTTATTTGATCTTATTCTGAAAAAGCAGATTTAAAAAACTTTAACTGAGGAAGCTTGGGTCATTGAATGTCTACTACAAGATGTAGTATATCTTCTATTAGTCTGTGCTAAAGAGGGCAATCTTCTTTGTGGCCATCTGTTGGGACAGCAGCATTAGAGCCTGTGGCTCAAGTAAACTGAAAAAACAGATAAAGAAAGCTGGATACTGCTCCCTGGAGCGGATTCTTTATAGAAAAAGAAAAATGCACAAAATAATGAACATATCAAACTACACATCTCACTCTCTGCTTAACAAAACACACACATTATATATATTCCCTTTCAGTTGGATGAATTTCAACATCCTTATTTTCCCAAAAACTTTTAGCTGACCATATTCTAAATATGAGCACGCCCTTCCTTCCCCTGACATAAGCACTACTTGTTTTTAGACCTGCAAAGCACTGATGCTGCTCTGGAACCAGTTTTCCTGGTAAAGAGCCAGACTGTCTTCTTCACTGTCAAAGCATGAGCTGGCTCTGGTTTTTAGAATACAACAGGAGATCATGATCATGTCACTTTGAACTTAAGTGTTAGAAATTAGACCCAGTGTCACCCTTGGCGGTGGCTGACGGGCTTTTTCATGTCTATAGAGCAATATCGGTAACTGTTGTGACTGTGAGGGGCTGCAGCGTAAATAGACACAAACGTGCTGAACGTGCTTTGAATGAGCTTCCACACAGCCGGCTGCTTCCGTGTTAGCCTGGCGAATGCACTGTATGGCATGTGTACTTGCAGAGCAGGTCCTGAGCAGCTGCCGGTATTAGTGTCTGTCAGTGGAGCGTCCAGAGAATGTGTCAGTGGAAGATACATGGACCTGACTGAGTGTAGAATCTGGCAGCGTTTGTTGAGTGTCGGTACATGTAAACTGAGATCTGAGTGTCTCTCGGTTCATTTGGGTCATCCAGTGCAGAGAAACACGGGCCCCCGGGGCTACACGACGCTCTGCTGTCAGCGACAGGAAGAATAGAACATTTCTATCAGGCTTGGACATGTGAGAAGTAAGCAAAAAGGTATATTTAAGTTGTACAAATAGTCAAATTTATAAACTTTACCAACAGCTGCAAGTTTCAACTTTTTGTGCGGTGGTTCCCAGATTCATTATGCATCTGTAAGTGTTTTCTTCATTTGAATTGTGACTTTTTTTTTGTTTTTTTAATTAATCTCTCAAGTCTTAGTTAAGAGAGGTCACAGATGGAGGAGAATTAGGGTCAAACAAATGCTTGCTAAGACCCTGAGCTCCACAATTTACCCCAAAGTACAACGTTTTTGGCTGAAGCCTCATATTAGGGATTAATCCACGGCGTAAATGTCTTCTCCCATTTGTTGATCTTTGTCAAATAAGTACACCTAGTTAAATCCAATGGCAGTATTAAATAGCAGTTTTATGCTATCTGTTCATGTTGCTGTTGTATGAATTACTAACCACTCTGTGCTATTCTTGAAATGGATGACAAAATCAGCTATTGATCATTTGAAAAGCCGATTTGCAGCAGAGGGACGTGCGGTTGAAGTTTGCGCTGTCAATTGATCGAAGGGTTGGTGTCTTTGTTGCTCGGCAACAACTTAGCAAATTAGCGGAAACTCACAGACAGTGGCTCAACAACACATCATTTGCAGTCTGCTTCTTCCCATATAGCCCTAAAGCCGATTAGTGAGGTGTTCAAGATGATCCTGCAGCCAGGTTTCTGAAGGAAAAATAACTGTTCAGCATGTTTTTGCTTCGCTATTGTCAATGCTCCAAACTCCCTTTTTTTCTACCTTCACCGTCACATTTTCCATGATGATCAAAAGAAGAAGTGGTTTAGACTTTCTGCTTCTTTCTCTGCATTTTGTGCCACCTCTAACCTTGATGCCCCGTCTTCAGCTCATTGGGATTTGGGGTCTTATCTCAGGCATTTCTTGAGCTTTCAAAAGCACAGTAAACAACGTCAAGTTGCAAACAATTTTCCTATAGTTAAAGGGATGCATCAAACCATTTTCCTGTAGTTAAAGGGATGCATCATAAAAGGTATGAAAAATAAAAGCTAGAACTACCAGCAGAAATTATTTGAGGGGCATAGAATCCAGCCCAGCATGGTGTGTGGTTTTAATGGGATCATTTTCAGTCAATTTCTGAGTTTTAGTGGTCTGACAAATGAAACAGAAGAGATACGGGAATGTTCACCTGTACCAATTTTGACTTTAGCTTTATATACAAAAAATTAAAGGTCTTTCAACTGACTACTGTATGCTAAATATATGAAGTGATTCACAGTGCATTGTCTGTTCATGGTTTTGGTGTTATCTGGTCAAACAAAAAAATA